TGAACTGATGTTTTTGGAAGGGGAAGCAGGACTGGAAAATGCCCCGCTGTCCTTCAAACAGGGCATTTGGCTCCATGGAAAAAGCTACATTTTAACAACTTAAATTTCATACAATTATGTACTTTTAATAAAATATTCAGGGTACTTGATTTTAGCCTTTCTGCAGGGGTAGCTCCCTAATTTGCATTCAGTAAAATAAAGGTCTCCTTATTTATTTGTATATATATTGGCTCTGAAGGGAGAGGTCATGCAAGTCCACGAAAAAGTGTAATCTGAATTGTGTTTTCCCCCAGCGTAGGTCATCCTCCCACGTTTATTTTGGATCACCTTAGTTTGCTTTACTGAGAGTAAATTTGTGCCACTTTTTCTTTTTCTTAGCATCATCCCTGCTCATGTAAATCGGCACACAAGAGAAAGGCACTCCCATCGCAGCCAAGACTCAATAACGTCTTAGAGCACCAGGTCCCAAGTTGTTCCTCAAGAGAGCACTTCATGCACTTTTGAGCAAACCTAAGACAAAGTGGGAAACAATTCCACAACACCAATTTTGAAGTCACTTTTCACAGCACCTCAAACATCAACTTGCAACTCTCTGCTCATCCTTTCTTCCTGTTGCCCCTGAAAAATATCTAGGAAATCAGTGTCAGCTCTGTAGAAACCTCCTGCTAGCTACAGGTCACTCCAATTTACTTATTTTTTCATATCCAGTCATCTACAAATAATTGAAATGTAATTGCTCAGTGTTCTACAGCTGCTCATGGGCCCACGCTGATGGGTAAAACCAGGTACTGAGCTCCACATCTCATAGATGCAAGTCTCCGCTTGCAGAAGGTGGCTGGCTTTGGGAGGTGCAAGGTGGGCAGTGCTGGGTGGGACTGCATCTACCAAGCTTCATAGTGTGGGGGAGCAGCATTAGCAAGTCATCTGCACCACCTCAAAGCCAAACTTAATTCATCCCAAATCTATATTCAGTTTCCAATTATCTGTCTAACGGTGCTGTTGTAAAGAAATTCTCAGACAAAAAAGAAATTAAAAAGCCAAGAATTAAATGTCAAAGCACTTCTATAGTAACCCAACACGCAAACAGCTGCCTTGGACTCTTCTGCGGTGAACTTCCCAAACCAAAGGGGTTGCACCAGTGGTCAAGCAGACACCTTACCCAAAAAATACAACCCCATAGAGCCTCTTCTAGGAGGGGCCCAAGGTGGATTTGTTGCCTTTTCAAAGGTGGGATGCTGGATGTGAACACCCAACCAGCAGTTTACTGTTTCAAAGCTGTACTTACAAAATACCTGAAGTGGCTGGCAGCCAAGTATATGTGGGAAGGTATTTTTCCTTTCAAGGAAAATCTGTTAGATCAGAGCCATGAGGTTATGACCAGATGCTGAGCTGGGGTAACCAAAGGGAAAAGACACAAAGACGAGCTTTTGGCTATCGCTCAAACAAGTGATAATCAAAATTAATGATGAGCAAGAACTTCAAACTCACAGCCTTAAGTGGAAAATGCTTTAAGCCTCATGTCTGCAAATCACTTTCTGGTTTAATATCGTCCTACCCTAACCATTAATGCCCTTCCTAAACTGCATATATTCAAATGGCAAAATAACTTAGCTGGGAAAAGAGCAACTACATGGGAAAGAAAGCACTGTGAATACCACACATAGCCTTTAGAATGAAAACAAGCTAGGAAGAAGTTGCTTCCAAGAAAAACAAGGAATATGCAGAGTAACAGGTTAGTCTGTGTTTTGAACAATGCGTGGGAGGAGAAAGCAGAGGGAAGACAGGGTATGTTATTTAAAACAAAGACTGCATATAATTCCCCCACATATTGCTCCATGATGAAAGGGAAAGGAGTGCAGCACAGACTCACTCCAGGTAAACTGGGGGACAAAAAAAAAAAACCCCAAACCCTGTGAACTTTTACCTGGTGCTTTTTTTTTAATTGCATATTGCCTGGATAAAGCACAGATTTCCTATAAATCCAAAGGGAAGGCTCCAGTGCAGTTTCCCAGAAGAGCTGAGGCTGGGATGGACCTCTGGAGGTCTCTGGTTCAACCTCTCCTCAAAGCAGGGCTTCAGCTTTAAGTTGGGGTGCTCAGAGCCTTGTCCAGTTGACTTATTAAAATCTGCAAGTCAGCAATTTCACAGTCCCTCTGGACATCTGCTCCAATGTTGTGTCACCCTCATCAAGAACATTTTTCTTGCATCTGCCTGGAGTTTCCCTCGCAGCCTTCTGCCGGGCATCCCTGAGATGCCCAGCACTGCCTTCTCCATAACCCCATTACGTAACTGAAGACAGAAAAATGTCTTCTCCTCCTTCTTCCCCCTACACCAAGTGCCCCAGCCCCTGACCAATGTAGTGGCCCTTTGCTGGACCAGTACATCCCTGTTTCTCTTGTACCGAGGAACCCAGAACTGGACACAGCACTGCAGAATTGTCTCACAGGTGCTGAGCAGAGAGGGAAGATGACTTCCCTTGACCTGCTGGTGATGATCCTCCTAGTGCAGCCCAGCACACAGTTAATTTTCATTTTAATACTGTTAAGCCAGCACCAGCAGGGCTGTAAAGGCAGGCAAGCATGGCAAGTCCATCTGATTTCAATGCACTCACAGTTTCAGAACTGATAAAGCAACCTAAGTCCCACTCACTTTTAACACAGTTATCCCAAGCTGCTTGAGAGAATGGGATTTTGATCACGTAGGCTGTGACAATTTTGAGCTGTGAAGCATTTATGCACCTTCAGAAATGTGAAGCCACGTGCTGGTTTAGCTCTTCTCAGAGCTCTTCAGTGCAGCATCTGCACAGAGGTCTGAGATACGTGGTCTGAGGAGTCTCGGAGAAGTCTTGTCGCTCAGGATATGTTGTTCAAGCCACAGAGACTGTTTTGAGTGGGATGTAACCAATTAACTTAGTGTTTTGTAATACATAGGGTTCTTTTTTAATTGTGAAGTAGCAGAATGTGAAAGTTTTGCTTGTGAAAAACTACACAACACAACAGAAATGCCAACCCATACATTTCTTGAAGTCTTGAAAAGTTTTTGTTAAATAAAACTCAATAAAATTTAATTAAATATAGTAAACACTAAGAGTGTAATTCATTACTGACCCATGTTTAGCATATTCTGATTTAAATCAACTTTAACATATTGTGAAGGGTATGTATCTGCATTAGTCTCTCCGTAAGACAGCTAAATGATGGGAAAGCACTTGTAAAGAAATGCTGTGCTTTGCAAAAAGTTGCGGAATAGGAAGAGTTATCAATTTAAACACCAATTTTAATCATCATGCCCTTTCCAATAGGCTGTCCCTCCTCCCTGAAAACCAAAAGACCACAAACACCCAGTCCCAGCGCAATTCCTGCAACCCGCTCTGGAGCAGCAGGGTCATGGGTATCTTCTGTTAGCTCAAAAATAGCGTGGCCCCATTCCAAGCCTGTTCCTGTGACAGTGATGTGACCTTATCAAAAGGATTTTGCTGACTGCTGGAAGATTCCTTTATTTAATATTATGTTGTACCTAGTTAGGACTTAAACAGTGCTATATGCTTGGATAACTTGCTTAAAAAGTCACAAGACGGCTTTGCTACTCAGTGTATAGTGCTGTTATTCATGCAGCAGTGAGCCCTTCTCTGTGTACTCAAGCAGTGGCATATTGCCTATGCAATATTTAAACCTATGGACCTAAATGGACTTTAATTATTGTGAGGTGTGAAAAAGAGGGGAGCATAAAAAGCATAGTTGAACTTTAAGCAGAGAAGAACAAACGTCCTTGAACAGAAATGATGCTTGGAGTCTACCTGGAGCCCTTCAGAAACACTGACTCTCCTATTTTCTATCTCCTGAAGGTGTTTTAGAGAGAGGCAAGGACTGGAAAAGATGCCATTTCAATTAAGCTGCAGCAGAACTTCAATAAACGTAAAGAAAATCCTATATGGGTTCAGCTGTGTTCTTGTGCACAAAAGTCACTATGAAATTAATTGTTATGATTAAAACCAATGTTTTTAAGGGAAATTCTGACATAGAAAAGCAAGAGGGTGCCTCTATACTATTTAAAAGTCACTGCAAGAAACATATAGCCAAATGTAGGTATATGCATCACTAATTCTGTACCTATGTTGCCACAAAATGTTTGACAATTTATCATTGAGTTATTTCTTCTGTTCACAGAAGGAAAATTCGCTGTGTTCTCACAATCCAGCATTCCAAGTAGCGAGATATTATTCCTCTCTTTCCCCTATAACTCTGTCCCCTTCCTATAGCCACTAACTCCTTAGGTAGACCAGGTTGGGTTTATAGAACAGCACTGGGAACCTTTATTCATCAAGAAAGTTTTAAAATGGAAGCCTTTTCTCAATCCTGGTCATTTCTGAGTCTTAATGGTGTATTAGTCCATGGGCTGCTGAAGAGGTACAATTTGTGCCGGATATAAAGCAGGAAAGTGCTCTGAACCATGAAGATCTACAATGCCTTTCATATTCTGGCAGAGGAGCTCAAACACTCCCTTAATGGTCATTTGATTGGAAACACGTATCATTTTCTTTTATCCGGTAAAGGTCTCTTTCCCCTCCTACAATAGGGCAAAGCAGTATCAATTAAAAACCGCTATGGAGTTTACAAAAGTGAGTCTCCCGTAGCTCCTGAGATGTGCCCACCTCCACCACAAACCCCACGACATTTCCAGCTGTTCTTGAGCCCCAGCACTGATGTCCAAACAGCCTCAGAGAAACCACCCAGAAAATTCCCGCTAGTGTGACTGCAGGAATTCTAAGCAAAGCTTTGAAGCATGATTTCCCTCCTCAGCCCTGCATAGGTGTCTGTGGCCCTGCAGAGGTCATACCCTAATGTCCAACATGTCAGAAACCCAAAACACATGGTCAGTGAAAGCGATAATGAACAATTAGCACATGCCTCATCTGCACTTACTTCACTACCGCAGGTAAAGAATGGGCCAAGCCCAGAGGTACCGTGTATCTTCCTGAAATAACATGAGCAATTTCTTACTTTTTCTTGATCTGGAGAAAAACTTGATGCCCCCAGGAGAGGTAGACGGGTTAGAATTGGGGGAGGACTCTTTGGAGGAGGACCTGAAGATCCCACTGAAGCTCATTCGACGTGGGGAGCGTGGGGGAGACTCCTGGTAGGGGAAGGGGAACACTGTTTTGGGTGAGCCAGGGCTATGTTTGGATCTCACAGGGGCAGAAACGGGGCTCGAAGGTCGGTTCTGGAGCCCTTTTGAGAAAAGGCCTTTTGAAGGGCTGCCGGCAGAGTAGCTTTCTTCCACCTGAGGAGGAGAGAAAAAGGAAGAAAAAAGTAAAAGCACCATTAATTCAGTCCAGCTCAGGCCATCGGCATCTCCGAACTTGTCTCAACACAGTAAACTCCTGTTTATTTGGCTGGGGATTAGCCAGACCTCACTTTCCCCAGCGCCTGCCTGCACTGACACGCAGATGCCAGTGTGCCACCTCTCTGGGCTCCATGCTGCCCCTTGCTCTTAAAGACACCCTGAATTTCACCAAAAAAAATCAACATGTGTGCATACATTTTATTATTACACATATAACACAGGATTTTCTTTACTGCTTTTATTTGCCACACGTCCCTCTTCCTTCCCCAGACAACTGAAAGATGACTGGCAATTAATTTATTTAATGTAATCAATGATCACCATTAAGAAAACACAGTGTCCCAATGTCTTCCTCCCAAATTTATGCACCCTTCTACAGTACTTAAATCTCCCTCATATGACGGAGACATCGCACGACACAGCACAGTGCACAAGTTCCCAAGCGCCTGACAGGTCTCTACAACGTCAGACACAGCCACAACTGTGGGACTGCAACTCCAGTCCCAAAATAGAGGAATCATTTTAGAGTGGGGACGTTCCTGCTAATTACCCCAGCCTCGAGCTTGGGTATGACCTTTCTAACAGCTGTACCTCTTTTGGGACCTGTGCTGGCTTTCCAGCTAGCATGAATATCTGTGCACAACACAGCACTGCACTGTGTGGGCTCACCCAGCAAGGGGGGATAAAAATCCAGAAAAACAAACAACAAAAAAAGGAGCAAAGATGAAATTCTTCCCACATAAAATTAATAGAAGCTGACCCAAAAAACTCTGTGGGATTTGCCTGTGCCTGGGCTATACGTAGAGTTTATTTCCTTCTGGATGCACAAAGTACTTCTGTGGGTATGAGGCTGCATTTTAGCTGGGGGCATTTCTCATGAATGAAGGGCCTTGTTCCTGGCAAAAGGCAGCAGCAGGTTTCAGGTCTCCAGGGGACACGTAGGCAAAGGCCACAGTGTATGTGCCCACAGGCCGCTGAATTTCAAGCCCTTTGCACGCCTGTTCCTCTCCTCCCAACTATGCAAAACAAACAGGGAGGTATGGAGCAGACAGCAACTTCTATCTGTGAAGATACCAGGTACACCTCATACGTGCCAGTCTAGTTAGGTATGGGGTTTGTTGCTACAGAAGTCATTGTAGAGAAAAATAATATTTTTATTAGAATCACATAGATGAAAGAAGAGATGAAAGAAAGCCTCATAGGTAATATATGCCCTCTTTCAGGTCAGTAAAGGGCTTGTGTACATGAATCCAGCTAAAAATGGTCAGCTGAGTTTAACACACATATGCAATGAACTCCCTTTTCAAAATAATGCTTAGCTACAGCTCCAAAACACTTGTAGAAATATGCCTGAGCAGCATGATGGCCAAACAACTGCTCCCGCAATAACACAGGATCCCACTTCTTCCCATTTTGGACCAGCTCCTCTCTCCACTTGGGATGGGATGGAGCTGGAATGGGTCCTGCTCCATGGGAATTGCAGAAGGGCCTGCAGAGAGCGTGGTCCCCTGTTTGGGAAGGTTTCTAACCTAAAAGGCGCTTGGTCTGGGAGATGGACACAAATAGCATGGGTCACTAGGAGGGGCATGGAACCACACTGGCACAGCCCTGGACAGCTGATGAATTCTGCTCTGTGTCCCGCTGTGCAGCACTGAGATGTCTGACAAGAGGCACAACTGCTTTTTATACCTGTACACTTATTTTTGACAGCACAAACAAAAATATCTCAAAAATATACCTGTCCTTTTGCAGATGAATTAGGGGAGCAGTTTTCCTCAACGGAAAATTTTTTGAAAGGACAAATCAATCCTAACTGAAGCACTGGCTACCAAACGCTCTTGACAGTATCCATCAGAGAAGAAATAAGTTATGTTTCATGCTTAATGCAGTGGCCTGAGCCTCAGGTTTACCTCCCAGCTCTGTCATGGATTCTGTGTGCAATCTTGGAAACTCATTTGATATTACACATCTATTCTATCGTATCTCCTTTATTCCAGCTCCAAGTCCTTTGGCACACAGACTGCCTCACAGTGAATATTTATCAAGAATAATAGGGCACAATGCCTCGACTGAGAACTGGAATAATAACCACACTATAAGTAAATTAACAAACAAATAGCACTTTTGTCATGGGTTAATAGTCCCAAAGTGGTAGATTTTTCATAAAAGCTCATTAAATTTACTAAAATATCATCTGTAAATCATCTGAGACTACTTATACGTTGTTCTCTTCACAGCTACATAGTCCAGGAAACCCAAGTAACACTATGGCACTTCCTTTTGCATCGCCATTTAAAGGGGTCTGTTGCCAAATCTACTGCCTGCAAGTGGGGAGTAAGAATATTTTCAATTTCATTTTGATCTGCCACTACTACCATAATTTAGGACTTTTTCCAGGACAGTAATTTCATTACAATTTTTTTCTAAAGTGACAAGCCACGACATTTGTGAAGCTAAGAGAAGGACGTTGTTCTGGCACCACCCTTAATATTTCATGTTATCTTTTCTGCATGCTTGTTTGGTTATAATGACACATTGATAGGAGGTACTTCTAAAAGACTATTGTATCCTCATTCGCTGAAGCAATTCTAGAAATGTAAAATGTCAAGCAACAATTTGTCAAATAACATCAGTATTCCCTTGTACACACAAGTCCGATACGAAAGCAAATTGTTCTCAAATTCTGTGCGGAAGCAGTGGGATGTTTTTATTTATTGCAGTCACAACCAGTTGCTTTCTCTCCATCGTGCCAGGCAGATGAATTAGCTAATTGACAGAGCACCAGGGGCACACTGCTAAATATACATGTGCATGCTACTAAATTAAAGGAAATTACTACATCGAATTCTTCCTCAGCTGCTCCACACGTTAATTATATACAGGTTACACCCACTATCAAAGCATGTAAATACCTGTGATTCTGCTTTGGGAATTACAACAGGATTGCTTACTTAGAGTATTATTAGAGGCTAATAGATTGCGAGTTTTAAAAGATGATTAGGTGCTTCTATGAGTAAAATCAGCAGCAACAACAACAGTTATCACAGTATATATAAAACTCACAAGGAGATGTTAATTTTCATGCTTCAGCTGGGAATGCAGAAGAATCTCTGCTGTGGAACAAACCCCACCATCCTATGCAGACTTGGTGTGGCAACTCTGGCAGTGGTGCTAGAGGCAGGTTACACAGCTAGATGGATCATCAGCCCATTCTTCATGCTTTTTGGACTCATTTCCTGAAGTTATGACACGCAGGTGGGCACAAAACTCCCACATGTGCTTTGGAAAGATAGCTATTCCTCCAGCTGAGCTGTAGCAGCAAAAAAACAGTATGGCACCCTGGTTTCTCACATTAGTAACCCTATTACATCAGTTTGTGCTAGTTCAGGAAAAGCAGAGAAGTAAGAATGGGCAGAAATATGAAACGCACCTAATAAATGCACATGGTGATACGGCTCATTTGACCCTGACCGGATAATTGGCCTTTTGGAGATAAGAAGTCCAAACACACAACGTAAGTACAATACAAATCAATGTAAAAATAAGGTCTAATCAAACAAATTAAAAATTTCCTCCAAGTATGAAGACTTTTCACTTAATTAAAAAACAAACAAACAACAACAAAACATTGCCTGGGTTGGCTTTGTGCAGAGCATATACAGGTTCTTTGAGCTCTACACCTAAGCTTGGACTCCCTAAACCTTAAAACTGGTTATGCTGGAGGGAAATCTCAGCTCCTGACCGTATGCCTGTAGCGGAACAGGGCTAAATTAGCAGCTTGGTAATAATGCCAGTGCAACCCTACCCTCAGCCTACGGCAATGTGCTCCCAGTGAGATTAAGCAACCAAGCAGAGTCCCATGCTGCATCAGATGTGCTGTTTCTAGTGACTGACTTCACTTGTTCAAGGCTAAACTGGTTACCTTACATAGCACTGAGTAAATATATCCTAAAATGCTGTAAGACGCTATCAGTTTTCATGCTTCAGAGCACAAAAGAATCCTCAGCTGGGGACCAGGGGGAGACTTTGCTCTGCTGTATACACCAAATGATCTTAGGCAGGCTCCTAAAATACATCCAGAACTGATCGCTATTGAAAATAAAGCGACCAAATAAGACATGTCTTACAATGTTTGGCATCTAGCAGACTTACTTTCAATTTCTTGAATGAAACGTAAAGTGGTATCTTGGCACTTGCCCTGAGCTGGGCAGCTCTAGAAGATGTCAAATCAGGAAATAGCATCCTCAAAGCTCCCCTTGTCCTTCACCTGGACATGGGGATCTTTCTCTCTTCCTAATCTCTTCTTCCTTTCTCCCAGCTACACACATTAATGGCTCAGAGCCACTCTGTGATGGACCAGCAGACCCACATCTTCATTTTCAACAGATAAACTCCTAGATGACAAAATCCCAACATAAACCATTACCAGTCCCAGACTACCCCATGCCAGTGAATGAAACAGCTGGACACAGGCTCAAACCATTGAGCAGTGGTCCGTACAGCTTCCCTGCTCACTCACCATCTGATGGGGACTTAGTCTGTGCCATGAGTACTGTCCAGGTGCTGTCTGGGCTCAGGGAGAGCACAAGCCAGGGACAGTCCCTGGTTGCACATGGTCACCATGCTCTAGTGTGTGCAAGAATTTGGCTCTGCAACAGGGCTGTGCCCAAGCCATTCATCTCTGGGCCAAGAGAATGGTCCTTGATGTCTTATTCATTGCTCCTATTAACATACCCCAAGTGAACAACCTTGTATCTTGTGCTGTTAAGAATTATCCATCCTGAAGGTCATCCAGGTCTTCCTGTATAAGGTCCTTCCCTATGATGAAAAAAACACTTCTCTTTGCATCATCAACAAATTTGGTTAGTATGCTTCTATTTTTCATCTCAGCCTTACTAGCAAAGATCAGCCCAAGGACTGAACTTGGGGAAACCCCA